CTGGACGAGTCTTGGAAGGAATATCTTCACAGTTTGTGGTAGGCCCTGCTCATTTCAACCCAACAACTTTCCTTGATTAAACAGCATTCTGTCTATATCCAGACACGCTTTGTGTGGAAAGCGTCGGATCGGCTGTTTGACTTCTCACAGCCAGTGGTGGTGTTCACAGTCCTAGCCACAGTGATGAAGAAGAGTGATGAAGGCACAGGTGGACAGAAAACAGCTTGGACCTGCCTTCCTGACCCAAGGCACCATGAAGAAGGGAGAGAATCCATGTAAGTAGCTACAGTTGGCTGGATCATGTCAAGCTCAACAATGTTAACCCTGTCATGAGGAGGGTGACCGCAGATGATGGAATAGTGCTCCCCACCCCATGTTATGAGTGACTAGTTGGGTTTGATAAAACACTAAAGCAAATAAATACCAAAGCACTATGCTAGAGATCCTCTGTGTGACTCCCCAGCAAGTACACAAGCAACCAAGAAAGCCAAGGCTCTCTCAGAAGCCTATGACTCCCTAGGCAGAGCGACAAATGCCAGCAGTCCCACCAATAAAGAGGACACAGGCAGAGTCTACAGGCATACAGAAACAAGAAAGCAGAATTAACATTTAAAAAAAAAAAAACCTGGAAAGGGTACATGCTGCTTAAATGGAGCCATGGCGAGAGGAAGTTTGCAGATTCAAATTTGGCAAGGCCAAGAGAGAATGTACTTACTAAATAACAGGAAAGTACAAATCACTTTAATGATTCATACGCTTGCTCTCGGCTCGACAACACTAATCTAAGCGACTATGCCTCTGCCCCCAGTGCAGGATTATACCAACATTTACTACATACTGCTACATGCTGCTGGGGCAGCAGAGCGCAGTGTCTACAAAATGAGGCTCCTGCCCAGAGGAGCCCACAAGCCGCCAGGAATCTTGAGGCCATACCCCAACTCCAAAGCACTGTGAAGCTGCTGCTGATGGGCAGCGGAAGAGCGATTATGTTGAAGGATGTGAACCTCAGACATGCAGAGCTGCGAGAATGAGGCAATAGTGTGAGAACACCAGGGAGGCCGGCATGGGGACGCTCACTCGGTGTCAGCTGCACTCAAACCCTGAGCCTCCCATGCAGGGGAGAGGCAGGGTGAAAACAAATGTATGGTTCATCCAAGGGACACCCAAAGGAATCACCTACCGTGCCCAGAGACCAGATGGGGGGGGGGGCGCAGAGGACAAGACAGAGGACAGGAGCAGGCACGGACACCAGGCTGGTACTCAAGCCACAGGAAGCGGTAAATGCCAATGCAGACGGCTCGCTACAGGGAGATACAGGCTTAGCACCGAGACGCACAGGGAGAGAATACAGCGAGCTCCTCCCTGAACATGCGAGAACTGGCTTGGCGGAGAGCCTTGCCAGACTCCCCAAGGAGCTTGAGTTCAAAGATGGAATGGTCAAGTCAGAGTTGTAGGACCGGAGCTGAGGAAATGACTTATTAGCTGGAGTTGTGAGAGCCAAGAGATCCCTAGTAAGAAATTCCAAGTTTTATTGGTTCTCACCTCTTTTCCAGTTCCTTCCAGAGGCCCAGCCCTCCACGCTTCCCCTTAATCCTGCCAACCACCAAAGAACTGGGAAGTTCTGTTCAACCACTAGTTAATTCTCTGGCATTTCTTACATTTCTCTTGTATTTTTGTTTGGATGAGTTGAGTCTCACTATGATGCCCAGGTAGTCTCAAATCCATGGTCTCAAATGGTCCTCCTGCCTCAGCCCACTATGCGATTTGGACTACAGGTGTGTACTGACACGCCTGGCTCATTTCTTACCTTTTCCCTTTTTTTAAGACTTATTTTATCTTTACTTGTGTGTGTGCACATGAGTGCTGGTGCTCAAGGAGACCAGAAGATGTGGGGTCCCTGGCGGTACAGGCAGTTGTGGGTGCTGGGTAGGTGCTAAAAACCCAGGTCTTCTACAAAAGCAGCAAGTGCTCATTACTCTAGTAAGCAGACTGTCTCCAATCCCCCTTTTTAGGACTTATTTTAATTTCTTATATTTACAAAGAGCTCAAAATATATTTATATTTTTTTAGTTTTAAAGATTTATTATTTTTGAGGACAATCAGACTGCAACCCACAGATCCAGGGAGGCTACCTAGCAGGGGGGACCCTAGGATGACTGTGGCTTAGAATAAGTTTTAGTTTTGTCCAATCACTGGGCAAGCTTTAGTAAAACACTTCACCATTAGGATAAGAATCTGTACCGTATCAAGATGATGAAAGAAAATGCCAGCTGTACTTTCAGGAGGGGAGGCTAAAATCTTTTTAGATTATGGATTAGCCTATAGAAAAATGTCTGCCATAAATCGAAGAGTAAAGGGGAAGATGAATAGAAATCTCACACAACTTAAGTAAAGCATAGCTCTCTGAATAGATAAAGATAGGTTTCTTCTGTATCCCAGAATCTTATATTTTTGGTTGTGAGCCTAGCCTTTAACGGCTGAGCCATCTCTCCAGCCCTGTATCCCAGAATCTAATCAATATTTATATGTATAATTCAGCTATCATTTGGCTTAAAAGGGCTTGTTGGGAAATGTTATCATTTTTACTATTTTCTGCAGAAAAAATATTTTCCAGTTTCAAATAACCCTGAACTCTTGAATTATAACCTGCTTTTATGTTAAAAAAGATTATTTTTGAAAGATATATTTTTTTATTTGTATGTGTGTGTATGCTTATGGAAGACAGAAGGTGGCATTGGATGCCCTGGAACTGGAGTTACAGCTGGTTGTGAGCTGCCCTATGTGGGTGCTGGGAACTGAACTCACATCCTGCAGAGGAGCAGTGTGTGCTCTTAACCCAATGACCCATCTTTCCAACCTTTATTTTTTATGTGTTTTGCCTGAATGTATGCATGAATACCATATGCCTGCAGTGCCCACAGAGGCCAGCAGAAGGCACCAGATTCCCCTGGAACCAGAGATACAGGAGGTTGTGATGGGCCATGTGGTTGCTGAGAACAGAACCAGGTCCTCTGTAGGAGCAGTCAGTGCTCTTAACTGCTGAGTCATCTCTCCAGCTCCCTAAATCTCTTAGTTTTAAGACTTATGTTTTTTTTTTTTTTTTTTTTTTTTTTTGGTTTTTCGAGACAGGGTTTCTCTGTGTAGTTTTGCGCCTTTCCTGGAGCTCACTTGGTAGCCCAGGCTGGCCTCGAACTCACAGCGATTCGCCTGGCTCTGCCTCCCGAGTGCTGGGATTAAAGGCGTGCGCCACCACCGCCCGGCCAAGACTTATGTTTTATCTTTCAACAATATAAAAATTAGCTAACAGAGTGATTCAAATGTTTTTAAATGCTCTGGCTACTTTAAAAGAGAATTTTACTTTGGTTTTTTTGTTGTTGTTTTTCTGGCTTTTGTTTTGTAAGATTTATTTAATTATTTTATGCTCTATCTGCACGTACATCTGCAGGCCAGAAGAGGGCGCCAGATCTCATTACGGATGGTTGTGGGCCACCATGTGGTTGCTGGGAACTGGAATCTCCACAGCAGCTCTCTCTCCAGGCCCAGCCTTTGAGTATCCAGCAAAGGAAGGAAAGGAGCCAGGGCACCGAGCAGGAAGATTTTTAACCCTGTCTCCCACAGACGACTAGGGAGGAAGGAATGAAGTAATAATATCCTGGCCTGCTGGAGAGGCAGTGGGAGTACCCTCCGGGATCAGAGGAACTAAGAAGCCCCACAGGCTGAAGAAGCCATCTGTTACCATTAAGTATTCATATGCAGAGTCTGAAGGGTAAGCCTAGTTAATGGGTTTCAGATGGCAGCATTCTCCACAGGGAAGGCTCTGGAAGCTGTCTACTCCATCAGCAACACAGCACAGGCTGTCACCTCAGCTGAGTAAACAGAACCTGACCATGTGCCCAGGAGAAACCCTGCTTCCTTTGGAGATTTCACATTAAACAAGAGACAAAGTTAGAAGTATTTTGTGTTACTGCATATTGGTTTACCCTACATTCCACTTCTCTAGTGGCTTCAAAATGAAAAGAAAACACAGTTGGGCTTTTAGTCACTACTTCAAACTCTGTCTCCTTAAGTCTGATTAGAGAAGATGCAGAGCCAGCCATTTACAAGAACGAGTTTAGACAAATTAAAGAGGAAACTGCGGGCCTCTGCTACCTTGCCCTGCCTCATCCAAATGCGAACACAGTGTGGAGAAGGCTAAGAGGCCGCCAGGACAAAGGGTCAGGTGTTTCCACAGCCAGGTGAGATTTTTCGGAACCTCTCAGTAACACCACCTGGGACTGTACACATCTGAGTCACACCCTAGTGAGATATCAATTGTGTGAGGAAGAGATTTCCTATGAATGCCAATGGCTGCTTTGGCTTCAGAAACAAAAACAAGCCCAAACAAAAACCCATTTGTTAGTATTTGGTCAACCTTCATAGCTGAAGGATGGTTCATACTAAAGCTTTTTCTCTTTTCTAGTTTCTTGAGATCTCATATAGCCCGGGCTGGCCTTGAACTCACAACGTAATTGAGGATGACCTAGAACTGATCCTCCTGTTTCTGGTGCTGAGATAGTCCAGGTTCTGGGATAACAAGCATGTATTTTCATGCCCAGCCACATCCAAGCCTGTATAAACCCATAATGGGCACAAGTAATGGGCCAAGAAAGGCACGTTTCAGGAGCTTTCCCAACAAACACAATTCCGGGAAAGGGGTTCAATGTGCAAAGTCTTTTATTTAAAATTTTGAAAAGTTAAGACTTAATGACCACCTCAAGATGTGCCATCCCCTGTAAGGAGGGTGACAGGTGTGAACTCATGCAGAGCTGTGTTTCCATTTACAGAACTCTGTAGGCACTTTAAAAATGAAGCTTGGCTTCAAAATACAAACACTGGGGGCTTTGGCTCAACCTTTTAATATAAAAAATTCACCGATGTACAAAAATGTGGGTGACAATGACAGCATATGAAATCTGTGACTGAAAGTCCCCGTGAGTGCACGCCATGTGCACACGCACCCGCCCACACATCCTCGGTGTGGAAACAAAACTAATGCAAACCAGTGCTACCAAGAAGCGCCAACATGTGTGTCCTCCGAATATCCGCCAATCACAGACCAGGATCTACTCCAAACATCCAGTAACAAAAAGCACAGCATCTTCCAGGAGCAGCGCAGCCGCTTCTTACTCACGATGGACCAGCACAAATAAACCCAGCAGAAACAGTACTGCATACTAGAAAAGGAAACAGGAACACGCGTCAGGGGCACTTCCAACGGTTCTTAATTAACTCTTTTCTGACCAGAATCAATGACTAAACTGTCAATTATTCCTTCACGCTTTAACTGTAATCCATTTAACAGTTTCTAAAATTAAACAAGACACGGTGGGGGAGGTGGACTGAATCCAGGGCCTCACACATGCCAAGATGTGTGCTGCTGATCCACACCCTCAACCCAAGAGCACTTCCCTTTCAATCAAACATACCGTAGACGCTCTCACCTTAAATTTAGGGTAGTCATTCATGAGGATTGTCACAATTCCGATATAAGGAACAAATCTAGAACAAGCAAGCAAACAAACAACTTATCATCACGAAAAATGCCCTAAACGGGGCAGCTGCTACCATTTACTGGATTTTAATCACCTGCACCTCCCCAGAGTACTCGGTTTCGGTCACCAAGTCCATTTGCATCTATTGCATCTGCTCCTTTCACCAGCCTGTTGCGAGGAGGTTAGGATTGTCACCATTGCAGATGAGGAAACAGGACCACGCACCAAGCAGCATGGCTGTGTGGCAGAAGCAGACTGGAGATCTCAGGTCTCCAGCTGGTGTCTCTGGTATCTCTAATGGTTGGGGCTGGGTGTGGCCCTCACCAACCATGGTGAGGAGCTGAAGCCCCCACGGCAGCACACTCCAAGGTATTTCCTGTTGAGCGGCCAGTGAACAGAAGAGCTTTCTTACAGAGCTCAGGGCTTCACCACCTGTCCCTTTAACTGTAGTCTGGTCTTGCCCTCTTAATCCTGATTTTATTTTTTTAGACAGGCTCTTGAAATGTAGCCCAGGCTGGCCTTGAGCTTACTTCCACCTGCCTTAGTCTCCTAAAACGCTGGGATGAGGACATGTGCCACTATGCCTAGTTCTGAAATTTTTCTAGAACCACTTTTATCACCACATACAGCAAATCAGTTTTTGCCTCCATCTTCCTGTACACCTCTTCAGCATTTTATTTTGATGACACAAACTTGCTCTTGATGCTTCCTCTTTGGTTCCAATAACCCACAACCTGTTTCTATACCCACCTCTAGACTGCTGTACCTGGACTTTCATTTCTTCCGCAAACTGCAACTGTAAAAGATGACTGAGCCCACCAGGCATTTACAGAGGCTCTGGGGATCTGAACTCAGGTCCTTACACTTGAGCTGCAAGCACTTTAACCGTGAGCCATCTCCTCAGCCCTGTGTCTTCACTAGCTTTCCTTTTCTTCAGCCCCTCAAACTAGGCAAAGACACCCGGTGAAAAAATCTCTTAGCACGTGATACACTGCCAGTGAGGGTTTTCTCACAATTGTAACTAATCTGTTTTACAGTTATATGGTACCAGCCTCCCGTCTAGACTCTGTGAGTAGCAATCTTGATGTCCTATAACCATTAAGGCCAAACATAGTGCCTTGTACATCGAACCTTCCAGTAAACATGTCCAAGTTCGCATGAGGACACACATGCACACACAGGTTCACCAGGCTGGAGATCAAGCCCAGGCTTCACCCAGGCCAGGCACTCTACTGCTGAACCAAGCCTTTTTGGCCCAATACTGCCTGATGGAATATCGGAGGTTTTTCTTTGCATTTTCTCCAGGCTTTAAATCTTCTCTCTATGCAAGACACCTTAACATTGTAAGAATACAGGGCAAGGGCTAGGCACAGTGGTATATGCATTTAATCTCAGCCATTATATATGGGAGGTAGAGGCAGATGGATCTCTTTAAGTTTAAGACTAGCCTGGTCTACATATTAAGTTTCAAGTCAACCAGGGCTACTCAGTGACATCCTATCTCAAAAACAAAATGAAACAACTCACAATAATAATGATGCAGGACAGAATAAGAAAATTACCAGAGCATCACTGATGTGAGAAAAGATGGTAAGCAAATATACATCCAACCTTCTTCATTTTCTCCTCCACTGCAGGGCTCCAGAGTAGACTGGACACACTGTGTGGGGGGCACACTAGCATTTATCACAGAGAGGAGAGGTTGGGCCCCAGTGGACTCTGAACTCTTTATCACAGTCCACTCTCACTTTGTAAACTGAAACTTCCTGCCATGCCAAAGGCCACAGAAACAGAAATCACCTCCCACTTAACACCTCCACCATCAAAGCCACAGGCAAACTTCCACAGACGTTGTCTTTAGTGTCCTTCACTTCCGGTTAAATGTCCTTCACTTCCTGTTAAAAACTCTCCTTATTTCCTATCTTCTGTTCTCCTTTTTCAAAACTAAACCACCTGTCCCCCCTCCCCCAATTTCCTTTCCAACTACTGGTGTTTCTTAACAGCTGGACCTTCTTTGACAGAATACTTGGGGCTGCAGCTGTAGCCCAGGTGGTAGCGTGGCCTAGCACACAGGCACGAAGCCCTGGGTTTGATCTTTAGCACCATGTAAATCAGGTATGGTAGTGCACACCTGTAATCCCAATGTTTGGGAGGTAGAGACAGGAAGATCAAGTCATTCTCAGCTACAACACAGAGTGTGAGTAGGCCAGCCTGGGCTACATGAAACCTTGTGTCAAACACACATAAAATCACCACATATACTTTTTTTTTTTTTTTTTTTATTTTTTCGAGACAGGGTTTCTGTGCGTAGTTTTGCGCCTTTCCTGGAGCTCACTTGGTAGCCCA